GCATCCTGCAGCACGGTCTGCACACGCAGCCGCGCCTCAGGTCCGAAATCTCTGGAACCTGCGCTGCTTGCACGATTAGGTGCACGACCTGATGCCAAAAGAAGGGTAGGGTTTAGGGTTTAGGGTGCTTTTGGGAGCTTTAGGGTTTAGGGTTTAGGGTGTAGGGTTTCGGGTTTAGCGTTTACTCGGCGCTAAGGGTTTAGGGTTTACTCGGCGCTAAGGGTTTAGGGTTTAGGGTTTAGGGTTTAGGGTTTAGGGTTTAGGGTTTAGGGTTTAGGGTTTAGGGTTTAGGGTTCAGCATGTCAAGTCCGAGCATTCACTAGTCGGGCAGCTTGTCACGCGTTAGAAAAAACCCACCCAGCCAAGAAACCCACAATTAGAAATACAAAGTTCGCTCAATACATTCCCAGTAGACTTACTTAAAGCTCAAAAGCCAGCGGACCCAAAATCCAAGCCTAAACCCTACGACCCTAAACCCTTGAGACCCCAAACCCTTGAAACCGTAAACTCGTGAGACCCTCTAAACCCTTGAGACCCCAAACCCTTGAACCCGTAAACTCGTGAGACCCTCTAAACCCTTGAGACCCCAAACCCTTGAACCCTAAACCCTGGGGAGGGGGGGGGGGAGCGAGGGGGGGGAAGGGGGGGAGGAGGCCCACGGAGGCAAAAACGCCCGCAAGCAGGCAAAAAGTGGGGGGGGGGGAGCCCACAAGGAGGCAAGGATGCCCACAGCGGGCAAAATTGCCCAAAAATGCCCACAAGGCAAAAATGCCCATAAGCAGGCAAATTTGCCCGAAACTTTGCCGTCCATAGGGGTCATTAAGGTTTAAATTATATGGGTAAGAGAGGGTTTAGGGTTTAGGGTTTAGGGTTTCGGCTCTCGCACTCGCACTCGCGGGTTTAGGGTTTAGGGTCTAGGGATAGGAACGCTAAACCCTCTAAGCCCTTTTGCCCGAGGTCTCTCTGAACCTTTAACCCTCCTCGTTCTTGGGCTCTCGACCTTGCTTGCTCCCCCGGGCTGCGCTGGGAATGACCAGAGCACTCGCTTTTTCTGATTCCTTTGGGCTACCCCCCTTTTTACGGCTAGGACTGCTACCCTTTTTTGCATCCGGGCTTGGGGAGTCGGCCGGGAATCAGGATGCTGCCACACGAACTCTGTTCCGCGGGTACCTGCTACCCTAAACCCTAAACCCTAAACCCTAAACCCTAAAGCTCCCAAAAGTACCCTAAACCCTAAACCCTAAACCCTAAACCCTAAACCCTATTGAAACGACAAGCAGCTCCCTATAGCAACTCGAAAGCCAGCCATGCCTTTCGTCACAACTTTGGTTGGGTGAAGGGGTGAACCTCCTCACTTTTGGCAACTCCTGGAATGTGTCCTGGGTTTACTCGCTCACACTCAAGCCAGGCGAAGCACACTCTGTCTAGGGTGTAGGGTTTAGGGTTTTAGGGTTTTAGGGTTTTAGGGTTAGGGTTTAAGGTTTAGGGTTTAGGGTTTAGGGTTTAGGGTTTAGGGTAAAACCTAAACCCTAAACCCTAAACCCTAAACCCTAAATCTGAGCAATCTGAATCTCCCCTAATGTGGGAACCCCTGAGCCGTCACATGATGTTACAGTTTTTGACGAATCAAGGAAGGGCAGGCGTTCAGACACGTCTTCTGCTAATATGTGCTTCAGAACCCCCCCCCCCCCCCCTCCAAAAAAAGAAATCCCTGTATTACCCTTCTTATACGGAAGAAGATTTTAAGAAACAAAAATCCTGATGCTACCGATAAAAGGAAGCACACTTGTTGATTTTTGTTTTTTTTTTGGGGGGGTTCTTGAGCAAATACAGTAGGAGTCTGTGCCCGATATAAACCCCAAACCCTAAACCCTAAATCCTAAACCAGCTCAGGAGACGTCCCTCTCGGTGCCCGGCGGCCGTTCCATGCCATGCTGGCCTGGTAACGCACATCCGTCTTTGGTGCACCACATACATACCCTGTATATACATCGTATACACGCATATGCATATATATATATATATATATATATGCACAGGGATATTTCGTTATGTACAACATGTATTAACACTCTGAAACTCCAGAAGCACCCCTGAATCCTAAACCCTAAACCCCCTCAACAGACCACTCCAAGGTTACTCCAAGACAACTCCAGACCACATTGCAAGGGGAAACCAAAAAAGGGTCTAGGGGTTACAGGGTTTTAAGGGTTTATATAGTTGATAGGGTTTATTTATAGGGTTTATAGGGGTTATAAAGAGTTGAAAGTTTGGGACAAACCCGAGGTGAGGGTGCCAGTTGTAGCACCCCGAGATGCAAATGCCCTTGGCACCTGAAGACGAGGACGAAGCAAACCCGTCCGACAGCCCAAAACGCAGAGGAGCAAAAAGTGCCTGCCACGCTTCTGAAACACGGAGCGATGCAAGGCTGAGAAAGTGCAACGTTCCCAGGGGGAGCAGGATTTTGAGTACGCAACGTACGAGGCGTGCGGCGAGAGCGTGATCTTGGCGCGGGATCCTTGTAGCTCTTTCCAGGCTTGCAGGCCTTCAAGGGCTATACTAAGCCCGTACTACGTCCCCCGCCCTCTGTACGTAGACTACAAACCGCAATCTTGGAGCGTCGCTTGGAGACGCCTCGCACCGGCTCATTTGCTATAGCAAGGACTGAGGAGCAGCAATTCTTGCATGGTTGACCTGGCAGCTGGCTTCTTCAAATCTTTCTTGCAATCCAGGCATGGCTGAGTGGCCGGCTGATGTAGATGGGCATGCCGTGCAGGCAGGTGCTGACGTGCTGAATCCTCCGAAAGCTGAGTTGCCCCTTCCGGCTGCGATGCCTCTGCAACGGTAGCTCTTTAGCCTTTAGCCCTTGTGGTTTGTTTCTGTCACGGCGAGAGCGCTGAGCCAGAGCACGTGAACAATGTCAACAAATGGCACGTGCCACCGCAGAAGCAAGGCTTGCACTGAACCCGACCTTAAGAACCCAAAACCTACTTTCTTGTAGATTATAAATGATTATAACAGGGTTTATCATATCTACATATGCACACATATATATATATATACATATATATATATATATATATAATGCAGCCGAATTGACTTGCAACGGTCAAGCTCGGGACATGTAGGTTCATCTTGGTTTTTCCTGGGCTTTTCCCTTCTGCCATGGCAGGCGTGCTCACAGGCAGAGAAACAAAAATCAACACGGCATCCAAACGCAACCATGCCATTACAAAGAAAACTTACTGCATATCCATGAAGTGTAAACAGACGCCATAGGACACACAAAGAATCACTGCGTCCACTGCATCTGTACAGGTAGGATCGGAGCTATCGGCTGCATCCCAAAGCACAAAGACCAACGGCATGAGGAGCTGTTGCAAACAACGTCACGCCCTACGCACGGCTTAGGGTTTAGGGTTTACTCGGCGCTATCTCTGAATCTGAGCAGCTGAGCGCGATTGCACTGTGAACCAGCACATCATCGGGACTATCCCCCAGCAGTACTAGGGTTTAGGGTTTAGGGTATAGGAAGCCTTGAAGGCAAACCCTACTCCCCATGCCATCAGACACCATACTGACGCGAGATAACTGGGCTTTGCAGTCATCTGTGGCCGATCAGGTCAAAAGCTCGACTTACTACGTTGGAGCAAGATTTCATGCTCCAGTCCTGCACTACTGACCAACATAAATAATCAGAAAAATAATGATCATAATGATAATAATAGTAGTAGTAATAGTACTAATACTTCTAATTCATGATAGCCTCAGATTGACAAGACGTGGGTCTTGCGCGTCTCGCGGAGGCGATAGGACGGTATCGAGACGGCTGCTGCTTCTCCAGGGAAGCAAACCTTGGCTCAGGAGTAACCTAGGAACAAAAAGGGTGCCCTTATTGGTTGAAAGGGTCTTACAAAGGGGACCGAAGTCTAAAGAAATGGAGTATAAGGGCCCACTCCGGGTTCCTAGAAACAGGGACCATGGTGTCCATGCCCTCTGGGATCGCAAGCGGACGTGGCGACACCACCGTGAAACTGGTCTCGTCAAGAATCGGTGTTGTTTCGGCCACAGTGGCCTCCACAGTTGCCCGGGCCCAGCCGGGGTACTCGTCACGATAGACGAGGACCTGGCTGCCCATCTCAAATCGCCGACGGAGCCCGCTGAGAGGAACGTTCCAGACTTTCACCGTGCGATCCTGCTCGGGCAAACCCTAAACCCTAAACCCTAAGCCCTAAGCCCTAAAGCCTAAAGCCTAAAGCCTAAAGCCTAAAGCCTAAAGCCTAAAGCCTAAAGCCTAAAGCCTAAAGCCTAAAGCCTAAAGCCTAAAGCCTAAAGCCTAAAGCCTAAAGCCTAAACCCATCCTCGGGCAGCGCCGTGTGCGCAGTGACAGACAGCCGCCGGGTCGAGAGACGGCGATGCTGAGCCTCCTGCCGGGTATCCAGTGACACCTGGAAGGGGTTTTCTTTACGACCCCCCCTCTATACTACCCCGGGTTTAGGGTTTAGGGTTTAGGCTTTAGGGTTTAGGGGCTTTCTTTACGAAATCCCCTCAAAACAAACCACCACACTACCCCCCCTCCATCGGTTCCCCCCATAATGTGGGGGGGGGGCCCTAAACCCTAAACCCTAAGCCCTAAACCCTAAACCCTAAACCCTAAACCCTAAACCCTAAACCCTAAACGGGGTAAAGAGAGCCCAGGACACCTGGAAGGTCGCCAAGTGCATGATGGCCCGGACTGGCGCTCCACTGATCAGGCCCGGCAGCCAGCACTGGTTCTGCCTTGGGGGCCATGTGATGCGCATAACCCTATACTATACAACACTATACTCTACTATACTCTACTATACTATATTATTTATACTCTATACTCTACTATACTATACTATACTCTACTATGCTACAACTCCTCCGATGAAACCTCGGGCCGTAGGTGCTTCGATTGCCAGAACGGGCAGTATATGATCCATCAACCCTTTAAGGGTTCATTTGGTCCAAGGTTCTCAGAGAAGACCTCCACGCGGGCGCCCAATGCCAAAGGTGGCCGGAGAAGTTGAAGAGGAACGTGCTCCTCGAGGCCCCAATGGAACCACCCCAAAAGGGTTTGGGGACTAGGGATCATAATACCTTATAATCGGAATGATCCTATCGGGTACTTTAGCAGGATAAGAGAAGTATAGGGCACCGTTAGAGGAACTCAGTCGTATAGGGTGTATGTGCCCGCAATCTTGGGGTTCACTTTGCCCCCAAGGCTCTCGGAGCTGTGAGCGGACCCCGACCAGGACGTTGTACGTTGGCGCTCCGCCGTCGTCTGGAAATAGGCCAGGCCCCTCGATGAATGCCGGGATGAAGCGTTTTTGTGAAGAAGAGAAATACCTGGGACCCAGCTTACCTACAGTTTTCAGGGGTTCTACCTACTAAACAAGGGGTACTTTGTAGTAAGCCGCAGGTAACTCGGGTCCCAGGTACAGCACTTCCTCTCCGTGCATGTAGGCATCGAATGGGCGCCCTCCTCTGCAGAACTCATCGACATCAACCGGTATTAGGGGATCTTCGTTGTCAGCCAGGTCCCTCAGGTCATATGGCTCACTCTGCTCTTCATGCCTAGGATGGCCCATAAAAAAATCCTCTGAAAAAATGTTCCCTAAGCATGATCCTCTTAAAGCCAATATAAGTGAAAAGATGAAATATCTACCTATAGGGCCTACCTAGATGCTCTTCTTCTCCATCGTCTGGATCAAGCCCCCCAAAGATGTTTTCGAGATTCTGCAGGGAGCGCTGGGTCATTAGGCGTTCGGAAGCCCGGGACAGGTGAGATGTTTCGGACTTGATCTGGACCACCTCGTGCTGGGGGCCGCCCAGCTCCCTTGTCACTCCCCGGTAGCCGCGAAGCTTGTCAAGGTCTTCAACCATCTCCTCCGGCTCGATGTCCCACTTCACCAGCACCTTCTGCGCCTTGCCACGCTTTGGAGTCGTGTCGCCCTCCACTGGTTCCGTGATAACCCTGCTGCACTGAAACGACATTTGCTTCGCACCTCCGCCAGCGTACATCAGCTTTGCTCGCCCCGAGCTTGGCGGTCTCACCCGACGCAGGCAAAGGACGCAAAGCACAGTGCCGCCAATGCACCACACGACCGCCACCAAAGCCAACACCACAGTGTAGCCACTGGCATTCATGTTGTTGGTATCGGTCTCATAAAGGACGTCAAAAGGGACGCTCTCGAGAATGGTAAACATGGAGGTGTGCGATGTTCGGCACCAAGAGGCCTCGACGATTTCGCCGCCCACCTCGAAGCTACTCATGAGCTGCACGCCAGCATTGGACCAAAGTCCCGTGCTGGAATTGAAGAAGGCGCAGCTTTCACCAGGGACCGGCGGACGGCCAAGCATGGCAAACACGATTGTGTCGTTGTTCCGGACTATATCAAGTACGGCGACCTCCCCACTGGCTTCTTTGGCGAAGGAGAGCTCTATGATTGGGGAGTTCACCATGACCTTGCCGTCTGCCCCATCATGCGGCAAAGTCCCTGCCACTTCGTCTTTCACCTCTGTGACAACCAGAACCGCATTTCCTCCGCTAGACACGTCCTGAATCAGGGCCGGTGGTAGCACCACGGTGAGTGGGGAACCCGGGTTGCGTGTGCGGTTCAGCTGCAGCACAGTTGGGCCCGTGGCCGCAGGCGTCGCCAACCTCACCGCGGTGACGTTGCCCGCAGGTGTGGTTGCGGAAAGCACAGGGTCCTCCTGGAGAGCTGCAGCCAGGGCCGTCTGCAGCGACTGTGCAAGCACCTGGCCCTGCGTCGTCCCTTCGAACTCCTTTGGGATCACCACTGATCCAAGCAATGTGGAAGTCGATGTGGTGCTTGAAGAAGTGGTGCTGGAGGAGGTCAGGGATGTGCTGGTGTCTGTACGGCTTGAGCTCGAAGTGCTGGATCTGGACGATGACGAAGTGGAAGTAGTTGTTGAAGACGTGGTCGAGCTGCTTGTTGACGTCGAGCTGCTCGTTGTGTGGCTTGAAGAGGTTGTCGTCGTGGAGGAAACCGTCCGCGAGGAAGAGCTCGTGCTGGAGAGGGTTGAGCTGGTTGAGGTCGCAGTTCTTGTTGAGGAAGTGGTGCTTGAACTCGTGGTACTTGAGGTTGTGCTTGATGTGGAGCTGATGGTTGAAGTTGACGTACTGGAGACAGACCAGGTACTGGAGGTTGTCGTGGAGCTGATAGAGCTGCTGCTCGTGGACGTCCTTGATGTCGAAGTTGTTGATGTCGAGCTGCTCGTTGTGTGGCTTGAAGAGGTTGTCGTCGTGGAGGACACCGTCTGCGAGGAAGAGCTCGTGCTGGAGAGGGTTGAGCTGTAGGTGGTGGAAGTGGTGCTTGAACTTGTGGCACTTGAGGTTGTACTTGTTATGGAGCTGATGGTTGAAGTTGACGTACTGGAGATAGACCAGGTACTGGAGGTTGTCGTGGAGCTGATAGAGCTGCTGCTGCTGGACGTCCTCGATGTCGAAGAAGTGGTCACAGAACTGATGCTTGAGCTTGAAGATGAGATGGTGCTCTGGGTGATGCTCGAGGAGGTAGAGGTGAGTGATGAGCTCGATGTGGTTGATCCAGTGCTTGAAACCCAAAAGGTGCTTGAAACGCTTGAGCTAACGGAAGTAGAAACCGTAGACGTCGTGGTGGTGTTCGTGACGGATGTGTACGTGCCAGAGAATGTTGTCGTCGTCAAGGTTGTGCTTGTATTGGACAGAAATGTTGTGGCAGTAGTGGTTGTTGTCGTGGCTGTTGTCGTGGTCGTGCGCGTGACAGTGGCTGTTGTCGTGGCTGTTGTCGTGCTCGTGCGCGTGACAGTGGCTGTTGTCGTGGGTGTTGTCGTTGCTGTTGTCGTGGCCGTGTGCGTGACAGTGGCGGTTGTCGTGGTTGTGATAGTCCTCGTGTACGTGACAGTGGTGGATGTTGTCGTGTTTGTGACTGATGTGCTTGATGTGCTTGATGTTCTGGACATCGACGTGCTTGAGCTGGTTGTTGTGGATGTACTTGATAGGTCGTCCGCCAGCGGGGTCAGTCGCCACACATCCGACAACGCAACGGTGCCATTACTTGTGCCATTACTTGTGCCATTACTTGTGCCATTACTTGTGCCATTTGCCCCGCCGAACATCCACATCCTTGGGGGCCAAATGGACCCTGAGATTGTGGCCATACACCCTATACTACTATAATTCTTCTTAAGGCTCATGAACCACAAACCCTGCTCGGGTTCATAACTGGCGCCAAGGATCTCCCCCTGGCTTGTCAAGACAGCGCTGGCGAGCTGCCGGGCGACGGGGGCCCCTGCCGTGGGCACAGGGACCACCTGCCCCCACCACGGACTCTCTGCCTCGGGGTCGATGAACCACACGTCATCCAAGACACTTCCATCGGTCCCGCCGAAGATCCAGATCCGCAGGCTTGAGGTTATGACGGCTGTGGAACCTGCACGGCCACTGATTGTGCCGGTCACGGATAGTTGTGTCCAGGACAGGCTGGTTGTGTCCTGCAAGTCGATACTCCACACGTCGTTCATATAACTTGGGGTTGAGCCTGCACAACCGCCAAAGATCCACATCTTCTTCATGGTCTCGTTGGCGACGGCTATGTGCTGACGCCGACCGGTTGGAAGAGTACCCGAGGGAGCCGAGCTTGTCCACGAGCCGCCCGAGTTGGTGTTGTAGTACACCAGGTCATTGAGGTCCACCCCGAATCCATCATCCCCGCCAAAGATCCACATATTTCCGTCCTCCGTGAGCACGGCAGAATGGTATCTCCGAGGAAAGATAGATCCTCCTACGGACACGTCCGTCCACTGAAAATTGTCCTGCAGATGAGCCCGAAAATTGGGGTGTATATATATATATATGTATATATGTATTTTCATGTATTTCTATTTCTGTTAAGGTATCTGAGGGTTCATGTGGTCCCCAAGAAGCTTGTCCTGCAAGTTGATAGAGGAGACAGAACTCGATGGACTGCCATTGTCGTTCCCCCCGAAGACCCACATTGTCCCACTCGATGAGATGACTGCACTGTGCCCTTCTCGACTGGAGATGTTGCCTGATGGGTAGACTTGATACCAGCTTGGACTTTCAGCTTCGGTTAGCAGAAACCACAAGTCGCTGTAATAGCTCGTGCCATCATAGCCACCCCACACCCACATCCGATAATACGGATCGAGCACGGCGGAGGCCGACCAGCGTCCCACGGGGCCTGTCGCGGAGACTTCCAGCCACTCTGGACTAAGGGCCTCTGCGTACCACAGCTCGCTCAGCTCGCCGGTATCTCCTCCAACGGTCCACATCTCCCCCTTCGAACTTAAGACGGATCTGTGGAACTTCCTAGTTGGCGGAGCAGTGCTGACTGGATTCAGTTGCGTCCAGGCGAGGCTCGTAGCGCGCAAGTCGATGTACCATGCATCATTCAACCTCACACCATCGGTTCCGCCGAAAATCACCATCCGCCCGGTCGACGATATGACCGCGGTGTGATCGCGCCTGGCCGAAGGGCCTGCGCTCGGAGTGAGCTCCTCCCACGTGGGGCTGCTAGCCTGAAGGTCGATGCGCCAAAGATCGTTAAGATAGCCCCCCGAGCTCGAGCCGCCAAAGACCCACATGACGTCATTCCCATCAACGACGGCCGTGTGCCAGGTCCGCGCCGTTGGCAAGGTGCCGTTTGGGGAGACGGTCACGAAGTCAGGGGACGCCGCCTCCAAATCAAAATAGCGCAAGTCGTTGTGCACGCCGCCTTGCTCTCCACCAAAGAGGTACATCCTCTTCCCCGAAGCAGTCAGAACGGCGCTCGGGCTTTTACGCGAACCCGCACCGGTGTGAGCTCTGGCCTGCGTCCACTGTGGCGACGCGGCCTCCACATCGATGTACCAGAGGTCGCTTCTAAGCCATCCGTTGTCGCGTTGTCCACCGAACATCCACATGCGTCCTTCTTTGGAAAGTACGGCGACGTGCTGGCTGCGAGCGAGGGGGGCATTTGTTGCGGAAAGCTGGTTCCAAGTAGCATTTGCCACCTGCGTGTCAATGTACCAGATGTCGTTGAAAAAAGTGCCTGAAGTTGTGCCTATCCCAGCAAAAATCCAGATTCGACCAGCATCATTCATGACCGCACTGTGCAGTCGCCGATTCTCGGGACTGCTAGACAAGGTCAGGTTGTTCCATGATGTCAGTCCTGCCAACACAAACGAAACATTGCCAAGCAGGCACAACGTGAAGAACAAGGCGAGCGGCATGCCAGCGCGTGCCATCACGCTGGCACTCTGGGTGAAACGTGGTTCATCGTACGCAATCTCTGGCTATATTTGTTGAAGTGTCGTTTTCAGTTCTGAAAGCAAAATAGTCACAACCATTTATTTCACGTGGGAACCAAGATTTGCATCTGTTGTGTAAACCACGGAAACCCTAAACCCTAAACCCTAAACAATAAACCCTAAACTGCCCAGGCTAGAGCTAGGCTTCAGGGTTTCGAGGCTCTCATGACTCTTGCTATGACTACGGCTGTCATGACTTGGGTGTAGGGTTTCGACGACAAGTTGCGTGGGAATATCCATCTGTCGAGATTGCGCTGCGCCGATGCGTTCCTGTATCAATCAACTGCTTCCTACTAGGGGTTTAGGCTTAGGGTTTACTTGTTGGGGTTTAGGGTTTAGGGTTTAGGGTTACAAGCGATCTCCGGAATTGAAGCAGGCTCTCTAACCTCAACTTCCATGCCAAAACTCCCCCAACAACCCGGAGTGCCCCAAATGCTGGGTCAAGGCTTGTTTGGGCTGATAGCTGTGCACGGTCCGAGTAGCGTGGCATCGGGGGGAACAAAGTACGTGACGGAACCCTAAACCCTAAACCTAAACCCTAAACCCTCAACCCTAAACCCTTTTTATAAATCCTAAACCCTAAACCCTAAACCCTAAACAGGCATCCTCCAGCACTTTCTGCGCACGTAACGCCGACTTGAGCTCAGGCTCAGGAAGCTGCGCTGCTTGCACGATGTGGCGCAAGACCTGATGCCAAAAGAAGGGATGGGGTTTAGGGTTTAGGGTTTAGGGTTTAGGGTTTAGGGTTTAGGGTTTAGGGTTTAGGGTTTAGGGTTTAGGGTTTAGTTTAGGGGTTTAAGGGTTTAAGAGTGGTTTAAGGGTTTAAGGGTTTAGGGGTGTTGGGGTTTAAGGGTTTAAGAGTGGTTTAAGGGTCTAAGGGTTTAAGGAAGGGTTTAAGGGTTAAGGGTTTAGGGATAGGGATTCGACGCTCACAACTTGGGATCGGGTTTTGGGGTTTAGGGATACAGTACGAATTGGATCTTTAGGGCTTTTGGTTGTTTTTTTGCCAAAGCAGAACAAGATGCACGGACATGCTTTTTTCTTGGAGGGGTTTTAGGGATATAAGGGTTGTGGGCCTTCAAGGGTCCTCATCAATGCTGAGTTTGATTGGAGCGTGACCGCCCTGCACTGATCCTGAAGATCCCAAACCCCCCTAAACTCTAAACTCTATTCCCCTTTGCCTGGGCAACATCCTGGGGAGCGCCGTCCCCCAGCTCGGCACACCCTGGTGCAGCAGAAGGGCTTGTGGGGTGGTTTCCTGGGCGTCCAAACAGGCCCCCCTAAACTTAAGTTGTAAGCATGCCTTGAACCCGACGCCTAAACCCTACACTTTGCATTCATGACGCGTCGTACAAAAGCTAGCGTCGTGATCTCTGGTTTGCGACATACACCCAAAATGATTTACGTGAGAGACCTTCAAGTGCTCGAGCAGAATAGATTCTGGGGGTAGATGCACAACGGGCGTGTTGACTAAACTCGAAGAGCTCTGGTCAAGTCAGCCATCTGAGCCTGTACGATGGTCGGTTGCTGCTTTGCAGATCGACACTTGCATGGAAGGATAGCGGAAGGTAACAGCAAATGAAACGACTTTTGAAGGACGCGCCATCCGATCTTGCCGATTCTGCAAGCCACCCTACACCCTAAACCCTAAACCCTAAACCCGGAGTCATGGACCCTAGAAGCCACTCCCTTCACGATGCTGAGTGACGATGCTAGCGCTGTCTGTCCAGGTCTGGCAGGCGATGAAACTTGCCATAGGCATCACGAGCCCAAGCTCGATCGTACTCGTCCCAGTAAAGCATCTCCGCTGGGTTGCCCTGGTCTACCGCTCGACTTCGTCGGTAAAGCCCGAAGAGCATTGCCACAAACCATAGAGGCACCAGAAGGGGAACGAACCTGAGTAGAGACTCGAAAAGACTTTGCCGGTATCGATATTGATTGAACTCGGCGTAGAACTGCTGTTCCTGCGCCCGCTGGCGCATTTCCTCATACTCTTGCCTGGCTCTCCATGCTGCCTCCTCCGTAAAGCCGAAGGGCTTGCCTATACTCCCCTTAGAACCTTCTTAATTAAAAAAAATTCAGATATCCTCAAGGTTTTGTATAAACAAAAGTCAAAATATTCCCAAGGGGGATATAGTTGCCGCTTGTCCCACTTGCTCCGGGCTGCCCAGTTCTTGTTCTGTGCATCCATGTGACCGTTACCCGAGGGCCTGCTCCCGACCTTTGATCTGTGGGAGGAGCCTTAGCTGTCTCCTGAACCACCCCCAGAAAAGCTTATTAGAAACCATATATAGAAGCCCAAAAAGTTATAAAGTCTAAAGAGCCAACCAGAAGACAGACGAGGAGCAATCTGGCGGTCGTACTCACGACGCTTGCTCTCGTCGGAAAGAACCTCGTAGGCACCCCGAACCTTTTGGAAGTTCTCTTCCGCCCCGGCTGCCTTGTTGACATCCTTAGTTGTCCAGTAACTTGACTGAATTATAAAGCTCAACCTTTGGGATTTTGTAGAGATTCGAATACCCCAAAATGGTTGTAAAGGTTTCCTACTCTGCTACTAAGCATCTGGATGCAGCTGCTTCGCTAGACGCAGGTATGCCAAGCGAATGGTTTCTTTGGATGCCGAACGAGAAACACCCAGCGCTTTGTACAAAGCGCACATGGCCTCACCAAAATGGCATCGGAAAACTCCTGAGAATGTTGCTGACCAGGAACCTGACGTTAATCAGCACATCACGAGTTGCATTGACAGAGAAGGTATTGCTCTGTTCTCCGTAGAAGCATGAAACATACAATTGCAAAGTGGCTTGCCCCTTGTACAGCTGGAGCCAGAATGGCCACCTTAGCGCTTTTGGGGTTTAGGGGTTCAGCGATTACGACAGAAACCCAAACCCCTCTAGGCCCTAAAATCCAGAGGGTCCGTTTGCAGTACCATTCTGGAATTAGGTACTAAACGCTCCTACACAGTGGTGTTTGGGGGTACCGAATTCCATGAGAGTGCTACAAATGCACCCTCCGGAACAACCCTTGACCCTAAACCCTTCTGCATCCAGGCCTATGAGACTACAGGGTGCCGGGGTGAAGATCTGCTCAAGTCAAGAACACGCCTCAACCCAAAACCCTAAACCCTACACCCCTACTTGGAGGTTCAGGGTACTTATGACACCAATTAGAACTGTACTTATACGCCCCCGAAGTCCTCGAATTAGGTGATAAGTGGACTTGGAATTGGGGGTTACAGGTAATTACACACGAACCTCCAAGTAAACCCTAAACCCTAAACCCTAAACCCCAACACCTAAACCTTAAACCCCCAACCCCTAAACCCTAAACTCAAAGTCATGTGTCCATGCTGGGGCTTCACATGGCATAGCGCGGGCCAGCCTCTCGCCAGAAGGAGGATACCCGATGTCCTGATTGCAGTGAGTGATACTTGGGGTTTAGGGTTTAGGGTTTAGGGCTTAGGGCCTAGCAGCACCTTCTTCACGATAGTATCCGAAACCGCGACAGCGCAAGCAATGGCAGTGGCTTGGGCTGTAAAGCGCTTCAGTCGCTATGAAAAGGCTTCCTTTGTCTATTCATGGTCCAGGCATTGCTCGGAAGACCAGGGCTTGTCGCTTTTATCTCCTTTTGACCCTTTCTAAGCACGGACAAAAGGAGCCTAAACCCTAAACCCATTTCCTAAACCAACATTGAACGTCGTTTGAAATCACCTGCCCGTGCCCCCAGAAATCCTCCAGAACCAGGGGAGCCTTGTGGAAGAGACCCTCTCCCAAATTCCCTGCCCGCAACCCAGTGTGCGGCATTGACTGTGGGGAGTTGCGGGGTCAGCCAGTGCGGTAGCCAATGTTAACGTCTCCGGAATGATGGTTGTTGTGTTGTGGCCACAGCACAACAGAAATACCGACATGGAGCTACCCTAAACATGACCCTAATCCCTAAAGCCTAAACCCTATAAACCCTATACACCTTATAAGCACTAAACCCTAAACCCCACTTCCCGCCAGTCCTGCATGACACGGCGCGAAGCATGGGACTTTCACTGTCGGATCTGTATGTCTTGCTGTGTCTGGGTGTAAAAAGTCACATCAAGCTGCAGACAGAGCGTGGGCTACGCGTGCGTGGGAACCAACAGAACGCCGCGCCTGCAAAGCCACAGCAAAGTCTTGGGCGATTCGGTGGAGTTGTTCATGCAGCTAGAACCCAGCTAGAAGCCCTAAGCATTCAACGCCATATGTAGATCCTAGAAGCTGTGGTGTCTACAGCCTCCTGTTGCTGTTGAGCCTGCAAGAATAAGAATAAGAATAAGCATAAGAATAAGAATAAGAATAAGAATAAGAATAATAATAAGAATAAGAATAAGAATAAGTCAAGTTTCGGGTTCGTCAGCTTCATACAGACAACCCCAAGCAGTGACACACTCCCACCTACTGCACAAGCAAAACCAACCTGAATCAGCCTAACAATCCCAAACTCTCGCCGCTCCACATGATGAAGCAACTGAGCTGCACCCCTGCAAATCTTGGCATCTTTTCAAGCACTACAGTGCACGCATGAATCTGTGTCATGAATTCAGGGTTTCAAATAAGACACGTGCAGACCAAGCAGGCTGCACTGGCTCGTGGATAAAATTCATAACTCGTCCTGAAGGCCTCATGGCCGATTCAAGCCCCCCCTCCTGCCATTCAGCAGAGTACAGGGCTTACTTACACCTTGAGAACCCGTCTAAGAAATCTACAAGGGGGTTTCGAGTCATAGCCTACAAGACAGTCTAGGCTCTAGGCTCTAGGTTCTTCAGGTCTGGGTTCAGAAAGGTCTGTCTGGGGCGTCCGGCTTTGCCCTTTGCAAGCCTTGCCCGTCGACTCTGGCACAGCATTGCCCGTGCGCTGGTGACGGCGTGGTGCGCTGCGCGAAGCCCTGGTGGCAGCGCTTGCAGCAGAACCCGCCAAAAGCAACACAGGTGACTGCATACGTGCATCCGAAATTCGCGCAGCGCGCCAGGGGCGCCCCGTGTTTGTACATCGGCTTGCGCTGCTGCGACCCCGTGTGCGCCGTGTGCGCTGCCGGGCTCGCGGACTGTGGGGGGGCACGGCTGGAAGCTTGGCCTTGATGCCAGGGGCCCGAGAAGCCCGAGAAGCCAGTTGCTGGTGGCGGCGTGGGCCTGCCAGGAGTGAAGCCGGTGTAAGGAGTGTACTGGCCATACTGGCCTGACGCTCTCCTTAGTTGTCCAGTAACCTGAGGGAACTAGAGGTTAACCTTTGGGTTTTAAGGGGACTATATTACCCCAAAAAGGTTAAACGGTTACCTACTACTCTACTACGCTAAACCCCAAACCCCAAACCCCAAACCCCAAACCCCAAACCCTGAACCCCAAACCCTAAACCCTAAGCCAGGTTTCTGCTCCTGGAAGGCAAGGCTGCGCTTGGCCACGTCGTATGCGGCCTGCACCAAGTCCAAGGCACTTCGGCACCGCGTCGCGCCACCGGCCGCCTCTGATATTGAGCCTCTGCTGAACTTGGGGAACCCTTTTTGCAACAATTGTAACTTGAGCTGCTTCCAATTCTTAGGACTCTGAAATTGAACCTCTACTGAACTTATGGGACCCTGGCGAAAAGCTATAACTTTAGCTGCTTCTGATTCTTAGGAATCATACTGAACCTCCACTGAACTTGGAACCCTGGCAAAAATTGTAACTTTAGCTGCTTCGGATTCTTAGGAAATTCTAGTGCGCAAAAATTCAAAAATGTTGGCTGCTTCTGATTTTTAAGGAACTGTAGTTCCCCAATAAAAACTCAAAATTAAGTTCCCGAGTATCCCTCTGAGGAACTGATCTTGTCGGGGTGGAGGATCAGCAGCAGACTGCGCTTGCTGCGTTCAAGGTCCCGCTCCCGGAAGCCCACCTCCAACCTGGGGGACGAATTTATGAACCCTAAATAAGGGCTTAGGGTTTAGGGTTTAGGGTTTGGGGTTTAGGGTTTAGGGCTTAGGGTTTAGGGGCTCATATACCTTTAATAGGAATATGAACCCCAAATAAGGGCTTATGGCTCATATACCTTACTGTAGGGATTCTAGGAGTCAGGGTACGTGACCCCAATGTTAGTATTAGGGTTCATTTCCGTCCCCAAGGAACTTCAAGATCCGCATCCAGGAGTCTGGGCCCTGCCGGTGCAGGAGGAGGATTCGCTTGACCTCCTCTGCCAGAACCCCCCTTCGGCGGCGGAGCTCCTCGAGCTCCTGGGGCTCCACCGAGGCAGCAGCTTCCTATACTCCCCTCTCAGAGCCTTCATAAAAAAAATGTGTTTTTAATATCCTCTTGGGTTTTATATAAACAAAAATTTAAAAAAAAAAAAAAAAGATTCCCAAGGGTGATATAGCTTCCGGTTCATGGGGCCCGGAGCTTGCAGCTTCGGCAGCTTCGGGCCGTCTGGGACTGGGCGGCTGTGGAGGCGCTTCCGTGCTCTGAGGCTCTGCCTCTGCCTCTTGAGAAGGCTCAGATTCACTTTGCACAGGCCGGGATACTCGGATCAGAACTGCAGTCCTCAACTCGCGTGGGGTGCAGGGACGAGGGCGCTCTCTCCCAGAGACAGGCCCTTCGCGAGTAGGTTGGAATACGTTCCATGCCAGCCGCATCTGCTCCACGTCGGGCTGCTCCCTTCGCTCTCGTGAGTTCATGGCGTTGACCCTACAACCTGGTTCTCTCACAGGGTCCAAGAATCCTTTCTTTCTATTTTGGGAGCGCATGAAAGTTATGAGAAGTGGAAAGGTGATTGAAGTCATCACTCACAACACACTAATCTTGGGACTTGGAGACGAAGACCGTACCCTGTTAACGTTCCATCTTAAGATTGAGATAGAAATACCAGGCAAACTGCAGGCTTGTTCTTTCGATCCGGCAGCCACTACTCGAGAGCCTTGAAGTGCAAAAACGAACGACGAGTGAAAATGACACAGGTGCATGTGCGGCTTGGTGCAAAAACAAAAAGGGAGTGAACGGCGCCAATCTGAGCAGCAGGGACCGGCATCTCGTGGGCTCGCCTGGCCACGGCGTGTCATGAGTCATAAGTCGGATATGTGCCGCTCCATAACTTTAGGAAAGCTAGCCATTGCAGCATTAGCATCCAAGATACCTCACGCACGGGCTGCAGTTTTCCCTTTGGAACTGCAGAGCAAAGCACACATGTGTACTCAGGTGAGAGAAGTTGTGCGACACGCTTGGACAAAGCCTTCTTTCTTGGTCGATCGAGCTTGGGCCAACATGCCAACACATCATTGTTCGGCAAGTACAGGTAAGTGATGCCACGAACAACCAGCAGCATCAAGCCACATGACAATGATCAACAGCATGCATCTCAAACTGCAGCCAATTGCATGTGCTTCGGATGTGGGATTTCATTTGTGGCCTTCATCTCTGCGTACGTTTCTTCCATCAACGCTAGTGCTTCAGGTTCTCGCCGGAAGAGATACTTCAAACACTCCGCAATGTCAACTTTGCAAGACCCACCCACAAAAGATGGTAGCTGCTCCGGCAGCAGACTTTGTTCGGCAGCCACAGCGTCTGCAAAGGTTGCGTACTGCTCGAAGCCCCACTTCTTGCGTGCGCGTGCACCCATGTCCTGGTAGAACTTCTGCATCCTTGCGGACCAAATGAACCCTAAAAGGTTTTTAAGGCTCAGATAGTATAGGGTAGTATAGGGTAGATGACCCCAATTTTAGGGTTCATTTCGTCCCCAAGGATCTTTTCGTCCGGATGGAAGGCAATCATCCGTGCCAAGCGGTTCGGGACAAGCTGCGTGATGTCTGAGTTGCGCTTCTTGCTTTCCATGTCGTACTTAGCCCAGTCGAAGTCCTGCATGTCTGAGAAAGAAACGATCCCCTTGGCAGTCGCCATAGGATAAGCAAGGCACGTGCTCCTCGCCATGAGCACGTAGAGGGAGGTCTGGAATTCTTTCCACTCCTCCGTCTGTTCTTCTGGAGGTGGATAGCCGATGTCGTCGCCGTAGTATTCACGAACAAACTGGATGGGCGAGCCCGAGGAGGCGGTCAAGTCGGGAGAAATTACCAGGCTTCCGCAGCACCAGTTGCGGATCAACTGTCGCATTAGGGGCTTTGTCCACTGGCCGGAGAACCACTTGAAGCGATGCTCCGCCTCCTCAAGATTGCGAAGGCGCTCCTCGATCTTCCTTGCGCAAAAGTTCAGGTCGGAGGCAGTGGGATTTGTTGAGAGCTCCACAGATCCAACCAGCACTGCCCAGAGAATTTGCTCGTCGTCAACATGCGTATGGAACAGCGCCGGCATGTTGGTGAGCTTCTTCATCTTGAAGAACAGGTTCTGCTGCTCCTCTGAGGCGGCATACCTTTCAAAGAGCTGCTTCAACACTTCATCGCCAGCTGCTTCGGAGCCATCATCGTGTGCTTTGGCCATCAGACTCGCCTGGAGGCTCGCGCGATTCCGATTCCTGCATGTATAGCCCGCAGCTGCAGATACAAGAAGGCTGACGGATTTGGGGGGCCCTCTAGACATTCACGATTATCTGTCGTGCATTACAGAACTCTGTCATCGAATCTTTTCGATCCGCATCGAACAAGGATGGCTCAAAGATCCTTTGGAGTTTGCAGGGCCGGGCTTGAAATTCTATGGTATAGAGCTCTGTCGAGGGAAGGATCTTGGGCTTGGGCCTCGGGATGGGTTTAGAGATGTTGCAAACCTGTGAAGAAAAGCTCAACATGGGGGGGGGGGGGGGGGGCTTACGAAAATGGGGGACCCCTGTAACCGAACCCCCAGTAGGATCCCCGTAAAAGAAGGACCCCAATAAGGTACCCCTAATTGCGGAAACCCCCATACAAAGGATACTCGAAACAACTCAAGAGACCATTTCACTGTCCTACCAGCACCTGTGTCCTTTGGGGCATGCCAAGCCCGGAACGCACAAGATGCTCACTCTCAAGGGGCCCAGAAACCCAGTTCAAAGAACCCTACACTTACACTTGAAGTCACTAAACATAAGGCAGTATGAACAAGGTCCGAGGGAACTGGTAGTATGCTGGAGATCACGCTCAGGGGCTTCAGGCTTTCACAGGCTTTAGTCCCAAACTCCCCCTCCAAGATACCTCCCCCCCCCCCCCCTGTCAACTCAGGCTCCTTCTCCAAAAATGGGTTTAGGGTTTAGGGTTTAGGGTTTAGGGTTTAGGGTTTAGGGTTTAGGGTTTAGGGTTTAGGATTTGTTGTTTCGGGCTTTTCCCTCTCCCCTAAACCCAGCCCAAACAAAATCCGCGAAGGCCTTGGCTCGGAGACGCTGCGTGGCCAGGTCGGCATGGATCTGGAGCCTTGCGGCACGGTGACTGGAGGCTTTTAGGTGCTTTTTTTCCGACTGATCCGACTGAAACCCTAAGGGTCTAGAGTCTAAGGACTCTTATGTTAGGGTTGTTGGGGGCTTTAAACCCTAAGGGTCTAAGGGCTCCTATTTTAGGGTGTTTGGGCCCAAAGGCCTTCTTATGTCAGGTTTTTGGGCAATTTTGGGTCTAAGGGTAAAGGGGTTATGTTCAAAAAGGCTTCATGAAGTCATGGTCGTGTGTGAGGCATGTCAAAGCCGGGGAACCCGACTTCGCCGACCCGCCTCAGCAGGAGGCATCCTCTGAAGTTCCCTAAGAACTCATGTACCTGTATGGTATATATATATATATACTTGAACCCTGTTGCACTCTGTAGGAAACCCTTTCTGAAAAAGCTCAAGTATATACTACATAACCCTGAACACTAAACACTATATAGTACATGGACCCTTAGGGGTTTGAGGAACTGCAAGTAGCAACTTAGCAACGATCGACCAGTTGGTGTGAGGGGGCAAAGCCGCCGGGGCTCGGCTTCCTTAAAAGGGGTGGAAGGAGTGAGCCTCTAGTGCAGGGGTTTTGGGTTTAGGGGTTTAGGGGTTTGGGGTTGCGCTCTACACTCCTTGAGCCATCAAGGAGCACGGCAGCACAGCTACAGGAGAACAGGGCATGACAACATCTCCCCAAAGAAAAGCTTGGTAGCCCCACATTGCGGTTCAGGGTTTAGGGTTTTGGGGTTTAGGGTTTAGGGCTTCCTCTCCAACGCCCCACTCGCGCCAAGGACACGAGGTTTTCCTAGAGAACCTACCAGGGACTTGGAGCGACAGGTGTGCTTTTCTGGCACCTTGTACCCTTCCACCCTTTTGGATGCAGGTTCTTAGGGTTTAGAGGTTCAGGGTTGACCTTCAACGCCTAGCCCATGCCCATAACTATAAGTCTACTGGCTTTCAAGGTAAAGTCGTAGGCATTCTGAGGCAGCCATTCCAGAGTCTCGCAAGGTGCCCTGTGCCCTGTTGAGTCTCGGATCGACCCTTTCTGTGGCTTTCCTGACTACTGCTCTCGCTAGGACGGCATCTTTAACGGCTTCCCACAGGGCTTCCCTGGTACTGCGCCGCCAGCTGCTCTAGCACCCACAGCGGATGATGCTGTGTCTGTGTCTCTGCGTCTCTGCGTGTGTCTCTGTGTGTCTGCGTTTCTCTGTGCATCTCTGCGTGTCTCTCCCTCTCTCTCTCTCTCTGTCCGCTGAGTTCGCTCGTCTTGCAAACGCCAGCCCCCCCCCCCCCCCCCCGCCCTTTTTTGTTACTTTCCCTGCCAGAGCCGCCTCGGCAAGAGAGGTCAGAGCAGCCGACCCACCGGCGCTAGCAACGAGCGCTGGTGACGGACAAGCGGAGTGACCTCGTCCGACCAAGGCTCAAAAGTCGCTTGTCATCGGTTTAGGGTTTAGGGTTTCGGGTTGCCCCATTCAGCTCCCTTTGTGCAAGTCTGGATTTCGGATGTCAAGGAGCACATAGGGAGCTTTCGGGGAATGGAGCGCTTCGCCATGCTCCGCCGTGCTCGGCCTATCTTCGCCCGCTTTGGGCTTCAAGATGTCGTCTATTCAAGAAATTCAAGAAATTCATTGAATTCAAGGAGTTATGATTCTTCAGATGGAGCAAAGAGGGAGCCTTCGGAAGGTGGCGTCGGGCACTGGCTCCCTTTTGGAGCAGCTGATGAGCAGCGTGGCTGCCCCTTTGTGGCACACTCATGTGCCAGATGGGGAACTTCAACCCCACCGAAAACTGCCCCCCTCTACCCAAATGGCACTGCAAATTTGCTAGGGCATAGCTGAGGTGGCATGTCACTCTTGTCGAATCCATTGATTGATTGATTGACAGCTTGGGGCCGTGGCGAAGGCCCTTTGGAAGCTCTCGTTCAAGCCGAACTGTGCGACGCTTTCCACACCTTGTGCTCAGGCCGATGATCCGACACCCACCCAACCTTCTCCCGAGATTCCAGTGCTTGGGTGGCGCGCGAGTGTAGGAGGTCATGGACCGCACATTGAAACTGGAAGGCAAGTGGCTCGTATGGGGACAAGGCTCAATCTTGCTCATATGAGGGAGCTTCGACAAGGAGTGGTCAACGCACGTAAGGTACCTTGAGCTCAGAGAAAGGGCTCCTTCTTGCGCTTTTCGGGCGCCGCCGCACAAAGAGCCGGAGTCTGGTGTGACTGCTCTGCGTGCTTCGGGATTCTACATAGCGTGCTTGGCTGCGGGTTCTTTCTGGCATTTTTAAACAGCTAGGCTCCTTTCTCACACAGCTGCGGATTGTTGAGTTGAGACTTGAAGCAGCCACCCTCCAGAGGCGTGGCTTTGCACGCACTTTTTGGGGGTGAAGATTGGTGACATGCCCATGGCCTCGTTGTTGTATATGACCATCTTTGCCAACGGCCTCCGTTGCCTTTGCCAGGGTAGGCCTGGCCTTTGCCCTTGTAGAGTTTGACGCATCTTGCGCGACGGGAGTTGCAAAACTGCCCCGTTCCGAAGCATGGAACCGCAGGGAGTGAGGGCACGCGTCGACCCCTGCGGAGGCTCTTGCCACAAACCTGCTTGCCATGGACGCACAGGGACCTGTTCTGCGTGGCCACTACTTGGGGATCTGTCCTGCGCCTAGCGGAACTTCTGCAGCTTAGAAACAGTAGCACTTGTGAGATCTTCCGAAAAAAGACGACAACCCAAGAGCTTGCAGAGTTTGTGCCTGGCAGGACCTGGAGGAACTCATGTGGATGGGATTGCTGGGGATTAGGGCCAGGGAGGGTTTAGACAGGGTTGAAGTGTAAAGTTTGGGACAATTTAGGAGAGCACTGAGGCAAGTCGGGTTGCCAAAGCATTCGCGCTCAGGTTTTTTACACCCCTTTTGCTGCAAGAGGCGGCCGAAGGGTATATGAAGGCCAGCTCTGAGATGCCGTGCATGGCTTCTCGACACGTTGAGTTTTAATGTGCTACCCTAAGTTGAAACACTAAAGCTTTTCAACCCAGGCTCCGCTCCCCCTAAACCCTAAACCTATATCCATATAGACTCTCAACCCTGCTTAGGTCTTAGCGCACAGCATTCTGAGGCTGCAGCGCTCCTTCTCTGCTTCTCCCCTTCAGGCGCTTCGTTCCTCCTAACTCTGCTGAAACGGATTGCGATGGCCTGGGGGTATCTCTTCCAAAACATGTTCAGGCCCTCTTGGGCACCTTCCATTTGGCTACAGGTGAGTTCGTGACTTCTTGGTTCGCGAAGTCCTGGGCGGGAAACGGAGGTGCGTGACGTTCCTGACAAACGTCTTCGGTGCAAGTACACCTGGGTCCGGTGCAGACCGGTTGAGGGCCTGTATGGGAGTCCTCATCACCCTAAGCACACCTTGCAAAACACGTTTTCTGCAAGGCCCCAGCGGATCTCGGCCGCAGCACTTCAGCGAAAGCGCCTCGAACGCCTCTTCACGGCACTCCTTTGAGCAAGCGTGCAGAAACTGGCGCCTTGCCTAGACTTTGAAGCAGCGCTCGGCTGCCAGGGCAGAAATTTGCACCGATGTGCCCGGGACAAAGACGAGACAAAACATCCCCTTCCCTTATAAATTTACTTAAGATCTCTCTTCTCTCACAGGGGAAGCACTTTCAATCGACCATGCGCCCTCCTTTTTCCGCCCCCCTCCGCCCCCCCCCCCCCCCCCCCCCCCCCCCCCAAACAGAAGGATCGCTCTTCTGACGGAGCTTTTCAGCTACTGCTCGCCGATCATGCGAGTCCCCGTCGCAACGCAAAGCAAAGGCCGGAAAATGCCGAGGATGCCCCAGGCGCTGGGGAGATGGCGGCTCAAACGTGTCGTAGGGGGTTGAGGGTTTCGGTGCCTCAGTGTAGGCACGTACGTTTGGGCACTGGTTGGGAGCTTGCTGCTGGAAGCATCCCCTGTTGAACGCAGGCTCTTGATGTCAGCTGGCCGCCCCTAGACCCTAAATCCTTGCTGCGCAT